TATAAACTATGATGACCAATCTATTAATTATTTTCATATAGCAGCTAAAAGTAAATAATCATTAAAAAAAACTAAATCTAAGCATTTTTATAAACTATGATGACCAATCTATAGTTTTGAAACTGTAGAAATAAAAACAATTACAACAATCAAACCACGGGGACCAAAATTGTAGCTTGCTTTAATTTTTATTATGAGAAAATCAAATATGTAAAGTATGTTAACTTTTATGGCACGAATAAATAAAGTTACCCTTTCTTTTAAATACTTTTAATTTTGATAAAATATTAATCTAAAACCACTAAACTTTTAGAATGTCACCATTTTATTTATTTATTTATTATAATTGAAAAGAAATTATTTAAATTTGAAAGTTACTATTTTCATCCAAAATTTGTTTATCCTTTATCAAGATATTTTAATTTAATTAATCTTCCTGAAAAACATATGTTAAAATTATCAACGATTTATCCTAATATTATTTTATTTAATCAATGCTAACATATTTGTAAATATTGTCGTGACCTAAAATTATATTATATTATATTATATATATATATATATATATATATATATATATATATATATATATATTCTGAGAGAGATGAGAATTTTAGTTGCAAACATGTATTCTGTGGTGAATTGACGACAAAGAAGAATGTAAAAGTTGTCCAAATAAAAACATCCATACCCAGACTGATAAATTATTCGTATGACACATGTCCTCATTTATTACCATTTATCATGAATAATAAACATGAATTTTGTTACACCATTCATGATAAATATCTCGTGAATGTTTTGGAGACGTGACATACTATCATTTGTCCCTAGTTCACAATGAACAGAGAAACTTAAGCTTGTAATTAATTGAACATGCCCATATGTGTGTATATATATAGGCCCAAAATCATATAAAAACCTCCTATTAGTTAAAAACTCTGTGAACCAATATTAACCCATATATATATATATTTAACTTTCATAATTATCTCTATCATCTTATCATCCGTTTCCCAAAAAATGCACCTTTTGTTCTATTTTTGAGACAACAATGTTATTTCACCAATGAAACAATATATAGGTTGATCTATATTGATCAATTTTACTAATGAGTATCGTTTCATACACAGGTTGATAGATCTATATTAATTCGTTTTATCAATGCATTAAAGAACACATGGTTTATCATTAATCCTTTTGATGATATAGTGTTGTTTCACCGACGAAACAACACATAAAGTTGGTTTATTTTGAATATAGTGTCATTTTACCAATAAAACAAAATGGGTTGATCTATAGTAATGTGTTGACGTAAAATGGGATGTGAAACTTAATACTAAAGTGTAGTTTTGTATTGTGAAACAACACAATGTTTTACATGGTGAAACAAAATAATATTGTTTTATATGGTGAAACAATGTAGTTTCATCATGTGAAAAAAAATGACGTAACATATGATGTGGAATACTAAAATGTTGTTTTACAAGGTGAAATAACATATGTGTTAAATCACTTTTATTGTTTCATGTAAAAATTGTAATTATCAAAAAATAAAAATAAAAATGATATTTATGTTAAATTAAAGAAGATAAAACGTTCGTTTTGGTTTTTATACAAATTTTCTGATTAAAAAGTTTATTGTAATTATTATATTTTTAATTTAAAACTTTATTGTAATTAATATAATTTTGATAGCCCTCATTGTTGACTATAAATTGGATATCAGGTGTCTAGACTGTCTCTTTTAACTTGTCATTTATCTAATAATTAGTTTCAATTTTCAAATTAGTAAAAAAAAAAAAAAAATACCACCGTCATTATAATCATAGATTAAATTCAATTAATGATTAAGATTGGTTTTTACATGATTTAATATATATATATATATATATAGAGAGAGAGAGAGAGAGAGAGAGAGAGAGAGAAAAGAGGGGGGGGGGGGTTGGGGAGCATTTCAATTAGGATTTCAAAATACATTTGAAGATGATGATATGCCAACATCACACACACCTCCTTGCGAAGAGTCTTTCAACTATAAAAAATGTGATTGCAATGCTAAATCAACATGTAATGTGAGACCATTACTTTGTGCCATATAATTCTTAACAATTAAAATAAATTTATTTGTAAGTTATAAAATAACTTTATTAAATTAATACATTTCTATTGAAATCAAAATCAATACGTAGATATTAACTAGTATTAATTTAATAAAAAAATTAAAATTAATTTTCTAAAACAAGCATAAGCACAATTATGTCAATAAAATTTATTATATATAAATATATGTGTGTATGTTTTATTATTAAACAGAAATATAAAAATTATATTTTATCTATTTATATTAAACTACAAATGATTAAAATATATACTAATAAAATTATAAAGTAGTTATTGATGTCGTAGTGAAAACGATTTTTGAAAGATATATAATATTATATTGGTGTATGTAAAAGATGATGTAACACACAAAAAATGGTTGAAATTGTATTAACATTGTGAATGAAAAAGGGTATAAAATGTGAATATTAAGTGAGTAAAAGGTGTGAATAGCATATTTACAACATCTAATGGTTGGAAAAAAAACATAAAAATGGTTTTAGATACAGTTTTTGTGAAGATGAAGTAGGTTCAAAAGCAAAGCATCTCCCACAATTTTGTTCAATATTTATTTAAAATAAAAATTAAAAGTTAAATATTAGAAAAATAATCTAACAAAAAATTATAATTTTGAATATTACAATATTAATTGTATTATTAAGATATTTAATAAAAAATTAAACTTTTTCTCTAGGTATTTAATTTCAGAACTTTTATTGGTGAGAATAAGGAAAAAAAATCATTTCCCTCTTCTAAATAATCATTTTAGGATGTTTTCATATTTGGAGAATTTTATTATCTCTCTCTCTCTTTTGCTTTATCTATTTTGAAGAAAGTTTGGGAAAATCTCTTATTTTCTTATTTTTAAAGAATTTGTTGGAGATACTCTAATTTAATTGAATGAACCTGTCCATTTTTAGACATGCAAACCAGTGAAGCGGTGATGATTGAAGATGGTTAAAGAAAGTCAAATTCTATCAAAGACAAGAGAACAACTATTAGTCGAAGCGTGCATAAATCATCTCAGACACTCAAGGTTAAAAGAACTATTTGGTTAACTCTTAAAAAAAATTAAGTAATAATAATAATAATGTCAAAAATCAACAACAAGCATAACATTTAGACATGAGTTTTCAATCTTTTTTTACCATATTTGAATGATTGTGTATTATCTATTTATTTATTGCTAAAGAATTGATTTACACATAACACATGTTAGTTAGTGCATGAACATTTTTCAAAATAAGGAATTAAGAGGATGAGTCATATTCATATATATGATTTACACATTTTTATTTAATGTTCATATAAGAAATTAAGAAGATGAATCATATAAGGAAATAGAAATACCTTTTTTCATGTATCTATTTAACATTTAATTTGTAAAATGTAACCCACTCACAACTTTTATGAATGAAATAAATAAATCATCTATCTCCATTGGAAGCTAATTGCCCTAAAATCCACTGAGCCTCATGCCAAGCAAATTACCCGAGCCTTTGTTCAACTTTCTCAACCAACAACCTCTAAAGTTAATTAATCATGTAACTCCACTCCCTCATCCTCTACAAGATCCAATCTACTACTACTTACTTAATGTATGCACATAATCACAAGCGTCTAAATGCCTGAAATATGAAGAACATAATACCATGTAAAGGCTTTGCCTGAACGAGAAATATCAAGTTGATGAAGAGAAAGGGTGAAACCTAAGATATTTTAAAGTAAAGGGGAATTTTTTAAAAAACTTAACAACATTTCTTTAATGAAGAACAAAAATCTGTAATAGATTACAAACTATGGTGACCGAAATAAGATGTAATTTATTCTAGAAAAGAAAATGTTGATAAAACAAGGAGGAGTATTAGTAGAAAAGAAAATGTTGATAAAACAAGGAGGAGTATTAGTAGAAAAGAAANTAGAAAAGAAAATGTTGATAAAACAAGGAGGAGTATTAGTAGAAAAGAAAATGTTGATAAAACAAGGAGGAGTATTAGTAGAAAAGAAATTGGAAAAAGAAATAAAATGTGGAGATTAGCAAATAAGAGAGGGAGAGGGACTAGTTTTGTAATCCAGTGAATCTGAAAATAAAAAACAGAAATTGCTGACTGAACACTGAAGTGTCGCTAACTCAGCGGCTGTTCCCAAAGGCAAAAGGGACGGTCCATCAGACTTTTAAACCCTTTTAGTCCCTCTACATATATCTAATTACCCTTTTACTCCCTCTGTCTTCATAAACAAGTCTACCGATCGAGACGTTTTTCAACATCAAGTGAAAATTTCTTGGACTCACCCAAAACAACGGTATTCCTCTCTCTCTCTCTCTCTCTCTCTCTCTCTCTCTCTCTCTCTCTTTTTCTTCCTACACTCAAATGAAGCCACTGTTTGTTTGATTCGTAGTACCTCAGGGTATTCTTGGTCCCACTATACAAATAATCGACGGCAATTCAACCGGTTGATTCCTCGCACTTTGCTTTCTTTCTCTCTTTTTATCTGAATCATTTGGTGTTCACTCAGATCACTTCTCAAGTGGAGAAACCCTTCGTTCAAGCACCGTAGATTTTGCTCTCTTCCTTGTCAATTCTTCTTTCTGTATATCGTCATCCGCCTAATATCATAAGATCGCCGGTATCCATATGAATCTCAGATTCGTCTTCAACAAATGTGATTCTTAGATTTGGGTTTTTGCGTATCCTTTCAATCCTCGTATCCATCCCTCAAATTGTCATTTTTCTCTTCTGGGGTTATTTGGGAAAACTGTGATACTGTTATCTCAAGATGGGGTTTTTTCTATAAACAATTTGATTAGTATCTGCTCACTGCTGTCTCTGTTAATTTCTTCTGCAGATGTACTAAATTGGGATTTCATTGCACAGGTTAGAGAAGAAGTTGGGAAGATGAGTGGAGCTGTGCTAGTGGCCGTTGCTGCTGCTATTGGTAACTTGCTTCAAGGATGGGATAACGCCACCATTGCTGGTAAGCTACTAAAACATCAGATCTTTAGGGATCCATTGCTCACAAGTTCAAACTTTTATATATTAGGTTATTTCCAATTGGTATTATATGTCTGTGATTCACCTTAGTGTGAATTGCTGGCTGTTAACTATGTTTCTTGAAAGGTAATTGCTGTTATTTTGCTATTCAAACAGGGGCTGTATTATACATAAAACAAGAGTTCAACCTGCAAAGTAATCCAACTATTGAAGGTCTAATTGTGGCTATGTCATTAATTGGTGCAACCTTGGTTACAACGTGCTCTGGTGGATTATCAGATTGGCTTGGACGACGTCCCATGCTCATCATCTCTTCTGTTCTATATTTTGTCAGTGGTCTAGTTATGCTGTGGTCACCCAATGTTTACATCCTTCTCTTGGCTAGGCTATTAGATGGTTTAGGGATTGGATTGGCAGTCACTCTTGTTCCTGTCTATATATCCGAGACCGCACCACCTGAAATTAGAGGCTCACTCAATACTTTGCCTCAGTTTACAGGTTCTGGTGGGATGTTCCTTTCTTATTGCATGGTATTTGGGATGTCATTAATGGAGTCACCCAACTGGAGGTTGATGCTTGGGGTTCTTTCAATCCCTTCCCTTGTTTATTTCGTACTTACCATATTTTTCTTGCCCGAGTCCCCAAGATGGCTTGTTAGTAAAGGAAGAATGCATGAAGCCAAGCAGGTTTTGCAGAGGTTGCGTGGCAAGGAAGACGTTTCAGGCAAGTTCTTTCTTAACTTTCTCAGACTATTCATCATTGTTTATTTTTACAATTTGCTCTTCTAAGTCTGTTTGGTTTGACAGGTGAGATGGCTTTACTAGTTGAAGGCCTTGGAGTTGGGGGTGAAACATCGATAGAAGAATACATAATCGGCCCTGCAAATGATCTTGAACAGGATCTAGAAGAAGCTGCTAAAATTAAGTTGTACGGTCATGATGCAGGGGTGTCTTGGATTGCTAGACCTGTTACAGGACAGAGTACACTTGGTATTGCATCTCGACAAGGAAGTATTATAAACCCGAGTGTTCCTCTTATGGACCCACTTGTGACCCTCTTTGGCAGTGTCCACGAAAAGCTTCCAGATGCTGCTGGTAGCAAAGGAAGCATGCTTTTCCCACACTTTGGAAGCATGTTTAGTGTTACTGGAAATCAAGCAAAACACGAAGACTGGGATGAAGAGAGTGTTGGTGATAGAGATGGAGAGGATTATGGGTCTGATGCTGGTGGGAATGATTCTGATGACAATTTGCATTCTCCTTTGATTTCTCGACAAACTACAAGTATAGAGAAAGACACGATTCAGGCTGCTTCCCATGGCAGTATTCTAGGAGTTAGAAACGGCAGTGCTGTGCAAACTGGGGGTGGAGATCAAGTGAGTAGCACTGGCATTGGAGGTGGTTGGCAGCTTGCATGGCAATGGACAGAAAGAGAAGGCCAAGATGGAAAGAAGGAAGGAGGGTTTAAAAGAATCTATTTGCATCAAGAAAGTGGCACTGGATCTCAGCGTGGCTCCCTAATTTCTGTCGCCGGAGGTGATATGCATATGGCTCCAGATGGTGATGTCTTCCAGGCTGCAGCTTTGGTTAGTCAGCCTGCACTTTACTCTAAGGATCTTGTGGATCACCACCCCGTTGGACCAGCTATGGTGCACCCATCTGAAGCCGCAATGAAAGGCCCAAGCTGGAGGGATCTTTTTGAACCAGGAGTCAAACATGCATTGTTTGTTGGTGTTGGTCTTCAGATACTTCAACAGGTATAACTTAGTTTCTTGATTCTTCATCAAGATTTCTTCTTTTAGTCGAATACTTGAGATTTAAAAATGAACGATTTTTCTTTCCAGTTGAATCCATTATGTTGATTCTTTACTTTAGTTATGGGTGCTAAGCATAGCCCAAGATTCTTTCATGCCTTTTGTTTCCTAAAATTGTGAATGTTGTAATATTTGCAGTTCTCTGGCATCAATGGTGTTCTTTACTACACGCCTCAGATTCTTGAGGAAGCAGGTGTTGGTGTTCTTTTAGCAAATCTGGGCATCAGTTCAACATCATCATCGCTTCTTATTAGTTGCATCACAACTTTGTTGATGCTCCCTTGCATTGCTGTGGCCATGAGGCTTATGGACATCTCTGGAAGAAGGTAATTGACTTACTTTCTTGTTGAATCAAATAAAGAATCATGGTTATGATTGAAGAAATGAGAATTGAAATGATTGTGCAGGACTCTATTGCTGACAACAATCCCAGTGTTGATCTTGACCCTCATAGTATTGGTGGTTGGAAGTGTGATAAACTTTGGCAGTGTAGTGAATGCAGCCATCTCGACAGCAAGCGTTGTTGTGTATTTTTGTACTTTTGTAATGGGATTTGGTCCAATCCCCAACATCCTGTGTGCAGAGATATTCCCAACGAGAGTGCGTGGATTGTGCATCGCGATTTGTGCCCTGACGTTTTGGATTTGTGATATCATTGTGACCTACTCCCTTCCGGTTCTGTTGACTTCAATTGGGCTGTCGGGTGTTTTTGGAGTGTATGCTGTGGTATGCATCATATCATGGGTATTTGTTTTCTTGAAGGTGCCGGAAACGAAAGGAATGCCATTGGAAGTGATCACTGAGTTCTTCGCTGTTGGAGCAAAACAGGCTGCTGCAGCGAAGAGCAATTGAGGAATTGGAGTGGGTGTGTGTGGGTGTATGTGTTGGTTGGTTTTTGGCTTTTTTTTTTTTTTGGTTTTTGGTTTAAATTTTGTTGTGATTGAAACAGGAAATTCAAAATTTAATGTTGTAGCTTTTATATTTCATCAAGCAACAAGTAGAAGTTAGAATTAAAACAAAATTCATGTGATTTTAGTTGAATTCTATAAAATCAGATTGAAATGGAAACAAATTAATACAAAAAGACACAAACCAAATAATGAACATTTGAGCTATATGTTGAGGAGCCATATCCTAATATAATATGGAAACAGATCAACTGTAATTGCATGTATGTATATATTGAAGCATGATGATGACATTTGCCATCCATGCTTGGACCTAAATCTGTAAATACCATTGGATTTGGAGTTATATAAGGAGGTCCGATTGGTTGCTTATTCTTATCTGGTGTTCTTGAGAATGTACGGTACATATGGAGGATAAACTAATATTCATAGTAGAGATTATAAAATCAATTATATTATTAAAATATCCAATACATTTAATAAAATATTATTTCGACATTTAATTTCAAAGATTTTTACTTAAAATGAGTAATTTAATTTAACCGAATATTTTAAAAAAATCTAATATGATCATGCAGCGTTTATTAGCCTTCACGGAAAGAATTAAAAAAAAAAAAGACGACTTTCTGAAAATCACACACAAAAAGATTCATATCCAAGAAACGGAAACGGAAACGGAAACTAAATCACATACAACATCTCTTATTCCATCCAATTAAGCTTAATTGTGACTAACAAGCCTAGCCCCAACTCTGTCCAATTTCTTCACCATTGCCACGGCTTTCAAATTCCCCTCACCCATAAAAGCTTCCACCATCTTCTCCCCAATCTCCCTCCCTTTTTCCTCATCATCTATAACTGCCACCGCTGTCGGCCCTGCTCCGCTTATCGTACACCCATATGCCCCCGCCTCTAATGCCGCCTTCTTCACACCATCCATCCCTGGAATCAATGGCGCCCTCCGAGGTTCCACAATCTTGTCAGCCGATAAAGCCTTCCCGAACCCAATCAAATCACCCTGCAAAACAGCCGCCACCAATGCACCTGCTTGACTACTGTTCCATATATGATGCGACATTGTTATCTCTGTCGGCAATGCCGCCCTCATTTTCTTTGTAGGAGCTTCGAATTCCGGATTCACCAATACAAACCATAGATTCTTTTCAACCGGAAACTTCAAAGGAATCAACTCCAATGGATCATAACTCCGGACAAGTACGAAACCACCCATGATTGCCGGAGCAATATTATCAGCATGGTACCCAGACACCTTAGCTTCCGATTCCAATCCCGCCATAACCAAGTCCAATGCAGGTAACTTTCCACCAAATATCTCGTTAACGGCAATAGCAGCAGCGGCAGCACTGGCGGCGCTGGAACCGAGGCCGCTGCCAAGGGGGAGCCCCTTTTCGAGGGATAGAGAGAGGCCAACTGATCGGATGTTGAGCATCTTCATGACCGAGATGGCGGCAATACCAGCGCAATTCCACATAGGGTTTTTGCTGAGTTTCTTGGCAGAGTTACCGGTTCCGGAAATATCAGTGATTGAAATCTCACCAGGGTGCACTTGGGGGTCGACTTTGAGGGTAACATAATCTCCAATTCCGTCGACTGCGCAACCGAGAAAGTCAAATCCAGGGCCGAGGTTGGCTACAGTGGCAGGGGAAAAAGACTTGACGCAAGTGTAAACGGGTTCAGGTTCAAGATTCCTAGTGATGGATATATTGCAGCGGAAAGAGGATGGGAGATGAAGGTGGGACTTGTTTGAAAGGTTAGTAGTAAATGGAAAAGAAGAAGAAGAGATGCCGAATTGAGGTTGATGATGGCATATCGCCATTTTTACTGCAGAGAAATTATGGACTGATTGGCGTTTCAAGAATATGGTAGATTGAGAATGAAGATCAGCTCATCCAAAATCCAATGTCTCCTCCCTGTCCACCAGATACATTATTACTCTATTGAAAAGAGAGAATAGAAAGATAAATTAAATAAATGTATATTAAACAAGGGAAGTTTGGTAGAGCGCTGAATGATTTAGAGAGACCGTCTAATGTAGTGTTGAATGAAAAATGGTTAAACAGAAGCAATGAACCTCTCTTACAGCTGTTGTTAGGCATTAGTTTTTGACAAGGAAAAAGAATTTATTTTATGATATTCAAACAATAAAAATGGGAAACTTACCATTTTGACAAAGAACAAAAGCAACCTTCCTCATTGTCATGGCTCTTTTTCTAAATCCTAACTTGTAAACTCAATTTAACCCCAATAAATCACCTACTATAGGCTGAATTCAAGTAAATTGGTTCATATATACCTAATTTCAACTCTTTGGTCTAAGCATTGGCCACCTTCATGTGTTTCTTTCAAATAGAGCATATGTGAGATCTAGAAACAAACAGCAATCATGGAAAGTGATGCCCTCCGAATGATACATTCTAAAACAATGATGTGTCTTATTTTGATTGGTGAGACAGAGAGGGGCCACGAGGGTTTGATGCTTTTCACATTCGAAAATTGAAACACAAAAAGCTCTTCTCTTTCAATGCCATGTGATTTCACACATTTTGTTAAGAAAGTTTAATGCTTTTTGAGTTTTTTATCCATAAACTTATACAAAAAGACTAACCAAAAACATAACCGTACTAATCACGAAAGAAAAACCATATTGTAGGTGTTTATACAAAATCTAAAAATACCAATGCAAACTTTGAATTCAAAAGATACTTTTCAACATCAAAAGTTGACTCCAATCCAATCTATCTACTTATATATAGCAATCATCATAAAGATCATCTGGGCGTACTATATAACTGCATATTTGTTGTCTCTATTGAACATAATTAGAACTTTTTTTGCATAAAAGGTCTTGTACAGAAGCTGGTCAACTCAATAATCTACATCAAGAACAGTGGTTTTATGCAGGATTACAACTCTCTCTTGTTTCAATCTCCTTTAAAATCAAAAGAAAGTCAAGTGGATAAACAAATAAAAATTAAAATTGTTTCAACTTCAATTCCTACTTGAAGCTCTCAAAAGCCAAAAGATTACTACTTTGGAAGCATTGGTACAACCTAAGATCATAAAAATGAAGGACCCTCATTCCCATCTTTCAAAATAACATCCCAATTTCTATAGTTCTTTATGTTAGTTTAATTGTTGATTTGTTTCAATGTAAAAGATATTGGTATTCTACAAATGAAAGAAACTACAGTATACCAATATCAACATTCACATTAAAGTAGTAAAGAATATCAAGTCATGAAACAATTACATACCAATTTCAATCAAGAAACAAAAAGAAAGAAGAAATTAAGTAGCTCAATGAATCAAGAAACGAAAAAAAGAGGTGAAAACGAGCATATTCAAACAAACTAAAGGGATCATGAAGAAGCATCAAATAATGCCCCTTTGTATGTGTATATAAAAACCAAAATAAACTATTTGAAGGGGTTTGGAACCTAGTCAATCTAGGCGGCTCATCCCCACGCCGATTTGTTTTAAATATAACAAAAGCATTTTCATCACAAGCATTTGCATCACAACTAATTTCATTTTTGTCACTACCATTTGCATCACAAGCATTTTCATTTTTATCACTAGAGTTGGAGATAAGGAGATTGATGGGGATCTAATTAGAAATCCGAGATTATTTGACATTCAAGTTGCTACTGATCTAAATCTTGCAAAGGTGAACAAAGAAGATCATTGACACAAACTTATGATAATATTCTTTTGTTTGGAAAGTTTACAAATGATTCTTAGCCTGGTTATCATTTCAAGACTACAAGTATTACAAGTATTCCTTTGTTCACAACAGAAGCACTGGAATTCTTTTTAGAAGAAATTGAGACAGCTTGTTCTGAAGAAGGAAAGGAAGCTTTCAAACCAAGATTGATTGAATCTATTAAAGAAATATTAGAGTTAAGAAAGCTTGTCAAGAATTACTTGAGTGAAGCAATCTCTTAAGAAAATCCAAAAAAGATGATTGAAAAGGATGCTAGTTTGCCTATTGAATATTTTGTTTCTCGAATGATCAATTCTGAAAAGAAAGATGTTGAAAAGAATTCTAAGACAACTGATACTACAGATTATGAAGTTGTGGATGCAAATGAATGGTTCTTGGAATTCAGATTCTTTGACAAATTTATGACAGAGAAGAACTTCAAAGCTATGACTTATGTTGAACTCAATCTGACAGATACAAGAGAGAGTATTGGGAGTTCATTAACATGATTGGAAAGTTAAGAAGGGATGTTTATTCAGACTTGTTGATTACAATGTTTGTTGATGTTAAGCAAAAAATGTGGAGAAGCATTGATTACATATCATTTGAGGTTGAAAGAGAAGATAACAAGATGTACACTTTTCCTAAAGCTGATTTTCCAAATCTACGTTTGCAAGATATGTATCAGATTTACACTAAGCTTGCACCATATGAAGATAAAGTCTCCAATTTGAAAAGAGGATTGGTTGCTATAACTCCTGGGATTCTAAGAGCTACCATATGGGTCAAACAAAGTAAGATAGTCAAACACAGCAAGTCACCAATTTCACAGCTTCTGAGCTAGCTTCATTATTAGATTTTCCAATCAAACAAAATTAGTAAGTTAAATCCCTAACCTCAACAGAAGTCAGTAGTCACAAAGAGAGAGGGCGACGGGCGAGTGGCGAATGGCAAGTGGCCGGAGAGCGAGAGTGGGAGCCGTGAGGCAGAGAGCGAGAGCGACCGGCGACGACAGAGGCAGATAGTCGAGAGAAGCAAAGAGCAAGAGCCAGCCGATTGCGATTTCGATTTCGATTGAGAGTGAGCGAGTGCGACAGAGCGAGCGGAGAGTCGAGAGGGAGGATGATGGACATGGACTGCCGACTGGTAAGTGGTGACGGGAGACTAACGGTAATATTTTTAGGGCCAAATAAAAACTGAACCTATCTATACACAATACACATACATTACATTGGGCTTTAAGAATCTTAGGCTTTATGCTGGCCTGGGCCCTTGGGCCTATGGCCAGGGCCAGGGCCAGGGCCGGAATTGCGTGTTATGAAGGTTATTACAAAGGAAAGGATTTAGCATCCCAAATTTAACATGAAAGGGTAATTCATCTGTTGATACACATACATTTAACAACTTACTAAACCCAAATTTAATATGACAGGGTAAGCATGAAAGTCTACTGCCCTTTTAACATTGAATAACTTGCTAAGCCCAATTTTAACATTTAGCAGATTCATGGCAAATTTAACAGCAAGCACAAAACAGATTTGTAAACAAGCAGCAAAGCAGTTATTTTGCATTCACAAAACACATTTGGAAGTTATTTTGCACTGACATAACAGATTTGTAAACAGATGTATCCACAAAACAAATTCGAAAATTAATTTGCATTAAAAAAAAAAAAAAGATTTGTAAGCAGATGCATTCAGAAAGCAGAAATCGAATATAGAAATCGAATCCATGTGCAGCAGAAATCGATGGAGTAGAAAGCGAAAGCATCTGTAGTTGTGGAGCAGAGATATAGAAACAAATACAAGAATCGAGCAGAGATCGAACAGAGACATTGATGGCAGAAGGAAATAGTTAGATGGAA